ATGTTAAAAAAAGAAAAAAAAAATTTTTTTTTTTTTTTTTTTTTTTTTTTTTTTTTTTTTTTTTGCCTGATTTCTTTAGGCTGGATGAAGAAAGCTGTATCACAAACAAACACAAAGATTTTTCCATCTTGGCTTTTGGTACCTGTCAGTCAGATCTTATCAACCTTGAAAGCATCTCTGTTTAAAAAAAGGACTGGGTGCCTGTGATATCTAATTAAATTACACCAGAACAACAGGAAACAAAACCTTTTATCAGTGTTTGAAATTGCTTCACCCACCTGGCATCCAAAGGCTCAGAGAGCTGAGCAAGTACCCACAGTTTAACAACAGACAACTGTGCCACTGCTGTGTCTGATAGCATCTGATGTCAGGAAAGCAGTGGCTTTTATCTCCACTTTTAAGGTTCAGCATGGCCCAGAAAAGCTCATTTTGTGTCTTTCTGATGTGTTAATTCTTATCACCAGATGCTGTCAGTGATCAGAAGGCCAGGTTGCTGCGTTCAGCTGTCCCAGGTCTGTAAACCCAAGATAAGCAACATCCCACAGAACATAACTCCCTTCATCTCCCTGACTGCAGCAGCTTGCTCAGCAAGGGTGCAAGAAACAAATATTTAATCAACAGATTGCATTAAGTCGCAGGAAATTGCCTTGAGCAATGCTCTGGCAGGTATCTGGTCTGTGTCAGGGGCAGACAGTAAAGCAGTGTGATCTGCCCTGTGCTATTACAGCCAGACACCAGCCCGTGGATTTCCAGTAGCTGAGGCTTTGCACAGCCTGCTTGCTTCATTCCCAAACAAGCACTCTTGTGTTTTCCTCCTGCTCCTTTATTCTTGGAAAGCATTAGCCATGAATAGCCACTTGATCTCCCCTTCAGCATCCCCGGGAGGCTCCTCAGAGCTGTGAGTCCTGCCCGGGGAGGGCACAGGATGAGGCCCCTCAGCACAAGGGGTGTGCACATCCCTTCCCACTCAGGCTCCAGCCCCTCCTAGAGTGGATTAAGGAGCTTTGCCTGAATTTTTAGGGACACTTAGGCAGCTGCTCAGCTGAAGCCTGTGTCATCTCCATGTTGCAACTTGAAAGACTCTCTGCACCAGTTGACTCCTACTCTACACCACAGGGTCCCTAAGAAAAGTTCAGTTTCTTATTCTGAGCTTGAAACAGTCCTATTTTGAAGACAGTTCCCAGCCTTAATGCAGGGGGACCATGTGGCTCTTGCAGCACTGCCAGAAAGGGCTATCACAGGGGATTGCACAAGGTGTGGTGGGGAGGACAGTGAGGAAAGAGGAAAAACAACAGAACATCTTGCAACACCCTTGGTGTCTTATTTTGAGCCTGTAAAATTTCATTCCCAGCCTGACTCGCTCCTTTAGCAAGCACCAAGCTTTCCACCAGACTGTAAATAAGCAGCAAACAAACATTCCTGTCACCAAGAGTGCAGCAGAGTTATCAGCCAGTCTTGAATCTCTTTTCCACGTGTACCAGCTGCTTGATAAACAGCAAAGAAACACCCATACCCCAAAACCTTCTCTGACAAGAGAAAGACAACATCCCTGCCAGGCTGAGCAGCTTATGCCAGGGGAATTAGCACTGGTGGAGGTTTCCAGAAAAACACAGAGTTCACCTCCTTGCTGGAGAGGGAAAGTCTGGAAAAAATGACACAATTTGGTTTTTTTTCTCAGTTACATTACACGCCTCTGTAGTGACCACTTCTCCAGCAGCTCATGCTGAAGCTGCAAAAGTCTGGATGCAAAACAACATCACTTAAAGGTTTCTGAGATCCAGTCAGGCAGCTGGCAAATCGCTAACACACATCATCTTCCTAAAAGGCAGCACTGAGTCTCTCATTAGAGGAGTTATCAGCATGAAGAATTGGTGAAGTCAGAGAAAAAGCTGGTTTGGGATGGGAGCACTCTCCTTTGCTAAAGCTGATAGCAGCTGCAGCTGGTTTGGGGCCAGGGGAAGCTGCACACGAGAGCTTGGGATGTTCTAGAGGAGCCTCACACCTTTCCAACAGGGACCAGCTTTCGGCAGGATCACTCAATCCCCAGAATCCAGCTCAGCCTCCAAGCTCAGGGTGGAATGGCCTGCTCTTGGCAGGGTTCGCTCCCTGGGAAGCCTTGGGAGCCAGGTTGAATGTCAGCGAGGAAGCCAGAGGAAGGGAGAGTGGCTCGGTGCCATCATGTACAGATGGCCCGAGCGGCTCCTGCTGATGGCTGTCCTGGAGCCGTCCTGGTCCCGCTCCAGCCCCTCAATGATATCATTGTTTGACACAGAGCCCTCCTCCCTGTGCTGCTCCTGCGTGCAGAGCTGGCAGCACAGGGCAGCCTGGCTCTGCTGGGACAGGGGGTCACATACTTCACTCATGAACCGAGATGGTTCTCAGCACCAGAGGTGGGCTGAGGGCACGGGGCAAACCCAGCTCTCTTGGCAGGCAGCTGCCCTGTGGCACTTGGGGACAGGGAGAGGACGTGGCTTTCAGCTCATCTGGCCACTGCTGAGGAGCAGCTGGAGGAAGAGGGGCTGCAAGGCACACCCAAACACTCCCAAAAACAGCAGAAGGAAAGCTGGGGCCCTGCTCGCATGGCCACGTCCTCTTGAGGGAGTGCACACTTCCCAGCTGCTCTAGAGAAACTCACCCCTATTTTCCTGATAAATGGGAGCAGTTTTGCCTATAAAACATCACTTGTCAGCACAAGCCTAAGAGGAGCTCAGGGCTGCCATGAACACACTCAGTTGCACCAGCCTGAGATCACCCACAGGCACCCACAGTGCCCCAGCAGCACTCTGATTTTCTTACTAATTACAGCAAGAAGGACTTTTAATATTTTGGTCCCATCAGCAACCTTGTTTGGGTTCATTTTACAGAGGGGCTAGTCTGCATGGACAGCTGCCAGCTTAGAAACACCCAGCAGTATCTAGGAGATGGACATGGTTTTTATTTCCTCCCAAAAAAACAAAAGCCAAATGGTCCATGAAGCTCTCATGAGAAACATTGACATTGATTTTTCAGTCATGGGACCAAGAAAAGTGGAGCCTGCAGTCTCTTACATCTCTTTCCCTGTCCCTTTCCTCAAATCACAATAAATCTGTCCAGCCAGGCTGACTGCATCTGGGGGTGGAGGGAATTGATTTTCCCAAGAAACCTTAGACATGAGATTTCCATCTACAGTTTGTGGTCCCACTCCATTGCCTCTCAACAGGATCCAAGTAGGGTAAGAAGGGGAATGTGAACTCTTGCCTCTCAGTCACATAAATGTTCCCTAAAGCCTGAATTTATTATCAAAACCTGAAGTGGCCCCATCTTGAACACCACCAGCACATGACTCATGACAACACAAGCAGGCCTGCTTTCCATATCCACCACTAGTGGGAAATGGGAGATTTCAAGCCTCTGGAATATTGCAGTCAAAACCTGGCACTTCATAAAACCAATGAAATCCAATTTTTTTTTCTTCATGAGTTCCATCCAGATGAATCCTGGAGCTCTTAAGCTCCCTTCCTCTAGAGCTTTTGCTAAGAACATGTTTATTGTGTAAACACAGCAGTTTGGAAGGAAAAAGTGGCTTTCCAACTATTGAGGTGGAACTAAACAAGCCATTTGTAAGGCCTGGGAAATTATCACAGACTAAAGACTCTCCATCCCCTTCTGCCACCCACATCATCTGTGACATTCACTGTGTAAATTGTGTTACAGGACCCAAGAAAGATTTATCACATAGACCCTTGACTTACCAATAGGAACCATAAAGGTTACCCAGAGAGGAAAAAGGAAATGAAATAAATGGAAAACTGGCTGATAATGAGTCAGTGCACAAAAGGTTTAAAAGGCTTCATTTCCAGGTCTCTTCCTCTCTGCCCCACACAGAGGAATCACTATATATCCTGAGGGAATCAGGAAGCTGAAAAGCAGCTGTAGCTTTCCAGATCCCACCCCTGTTTCTCTGATGATTCCAAGAGACAGTAGAGCAGGATAAACTCAATTTCCCCTTTGCATAACCCTTAACCCCTGCCCATGAAGGAAGCCCATTAGACACTGATGATGTGTAGCCCACCAGTGGAATAATTTCATATATCCTTCCTGCTCAGAAATGGGCAGCAACTTCCTCACTCAGCTGGTAGGAGAGGCCCTGGAAATGTGCAAAAGCAGGAAACACAGGAATACAAGTGACAGATCTTTTACTGCACCACTGAGAGCACCAGGCTGGGTGGGAGCACTTGTCACCTACCCAGGTGGGGCCAGCAGAGCTTGGAAATCATGCTGCTTCCTATAGGAGTGGCCTAAAACCAAGGTTCTGTTGACTCCTGAGGTCAGACCAGGTGAGCTCTGGATGTCCTTTGCTGTGTCCTCAGGTAGTTCCTGCACATCTCCACCGGGGCTTTGCCACCCAGGGCAGTGCCCAGAATAAGGATCTCCCAGGGATTGATCCACAGGCAGGGACACCCCCTGGAGAAGCCTCCAATACCCTTGAGAGGCAGCTGAGAGGGTTCTTCCCAAGTGTGTTCTTCCCATGAGAGACACGAGAAAGAAGAGAAGAGAGAAGAGAGAAGAGAGAAGAGAGAAGAGAGAAGAGAGAAGAGAGAAGAGAGAAGAGAGAAGAGAGGTCTTTCTGCTCCCTGTCCTTCACAGAGGTGACAAGCCAAATTCCATGCAGGTTTCTGCTGTGCAAATGGGAGCTCTCCTCTTCACCAAGAAAAACCTCACCCCAGGCAGTGCTGCCACACACATTGAGAGGCTCTCAGTCTGTCCCTGCTTGGCTCAAAGCTGCTTTTTATTAACAAATGCAAATGCCTTTTTAAAAAGTCACTTTTCATCCAAAGTTTGCAACTCAGATTCTTCCGCTCCTAAGCCCCAGCCAAATTTAAAGCTGCTTTATAGGCAACTCTCCATATATTTGTTGTTTGTGCAGCTTTGAGCTTTCCAATCCCACAGCTGCAGGACATGGATTTGAGTCATTTAAAACAAGCCAGAGTCATTTGAGTGATATATTTTGTCATTATCCTGAAATGTTAGTGTGTCATGAACTCTGCTTGAAACTCCAGTGTGTTTCTGACTTCTTATCAAATTCCTGGGCAGGAAATAATGCAATATGATGTTAACTGCTAATGCAATAATTGTATTCACAGATATATGAAGCCCAAATGCAGATGTGTGATGAGCTTGTTACAAAACACTGGGTTGGGCACAGCTCTGAAGCAAGATATGCAATAATTTCTGTGTTTCACCTCTGTGGATGAACATGATGTCCTTTTCGTATGGAATATGAAATGGGATGGTGTGAACATTTCTTCCACATATTGAAACTAGAATGTTTCTTCCAAAGCTAGCATCCCTACTAAAGTACATATTATGACACTTTCTTCACTTTTCAAAGCAATTTAATCAGTTGTCTCTCCAGAAGGAGAGTGGGGAATGTGCAATAAGGCTGCCTAACCACCAAGAACATCACCTGAAGCAGTTTCAGTGGATTGGCATATCTCCTTTCTAGTTTTGGGAACCACTGGGTAAATCATATCCCAACCAAACCCAAATTATGGCAATTTCATGCTTTCTTTGAATGATGGGAGTCTGGGATGTGGATACAAGAGTGAAGTGTGAGCCAGGTGAGTGCATTCACATCCCTGTGCTGACCCAGGGACAGAGGGGGAGCACAGCACCAACCTCAGCAGCAAAGCTGGTTTCCAAATGCTCCTCTAAACTGAAGCAATTAAATGGCCCAGTTCTCTGAGGCTTATTTTAGTTTTAAAAAAGCCTCAAGTACCTTCCTTGAAGTTGCAGTTCTCTTATGCCCATCTTCATGTGAATTTGCAGCCTGGAGCTTACAGGTTTTGTACAGCTTTGAAGGGACACTTCCCACTTGGGGGATTTCACTTTCTCTCCTGTTGCCTGGGCAACAAACTCTTCCCAGAAGAAGTTCTGGATGCTGCAGCTACTCAGCACCCCAAACCTCACCCAGAACCTCAGCTTCCCCTGTGAGACAAGCACGAGCAGTGATGAGCTCCTGGGTGCTGTGGAGCAACCCAGGCTGGGCTCTGCCTTGCCACACTTTTCAACAAGGAGAAGAGGTTTGTCTCCACTTAAAAGTGTTCTATGGGTGCTGATAAATACGTTCCTCTTTTAATTTAAGTCTCTCAACTACTTCAGCACTTTTACAAGTCTCTGAGAAGTGGAGCCCTTCCACTAATTGCATTTTGTGATTGCACCCTCACCTTTCTTGAGCAAGGACTTCAGGCCTAGCAAGACTCCCACATGAAGCACTGCTATCTATGAATCACCTGCATTTTCCACTGAAAATAAAAATTAAAAGCTCCAAACCAGCTGGTTTTCAACCAAGTGCTATTTCATCAGCACTTGTAAAGGAGATCCATCCTGCAGTGGAAGTGTGTGCACACACTTCCAAGCCTGTCTGTATACATCTCAATGAATGAAAATGCACTTCAGGAAATAAACACAATAGGAACCTTCTATTATTATAACTCTGTTTACTAACACCAGCAAAGGGCTTTTCTGTGCTGGAAATAGCACGGCACCGCTCCCGCGAGCACCTGGAGCTTACATCACTGTGCTTGGAGCCCAAACACATCAACTCAGCAAGGATCCTCTCTCTGGCCAGCTTCTGCTGTGCCAGAAATATTCACCTTTGCATAGCAACTGCGGAATCAGCAAGGCCTGGCAGTCCTGGAAGGAGACCCCCAGCAGCATCAGAGGTTGTGCTGCTTCCAGGCTCAGATCAGACCTGGCACGGTGCCACTGTCATCAGCAGCAGCTATTCCTCCAGGCAGGACTGGCTTAGCAGTGCTTATGGTGCCTGGCCTTGTTTTCCCAGCTAAAACATGCTAAAATACACAGAATTTATAGCTGTTTCTGTTTAGTTCTACACAGGTCCATGACTGCCTATGAAAAGCATCTGGATTTTGCAGCACTGGAACTCTCAGTAGGTTTTGTGACTTTTTACAGAAAACACCTCATACTCATCTTCCATCAGACATCACATTTCAGGCTTTACTGCAGAAAGTGATAAAAACCCCCCTGGTTTTGCTCCAAAACACCCTGACTACCATTTAGGTGTATGCACTGCCATCAGAACTAGTAAGATCTTCTAACATTTCACTCTTTTAGGAGGATAGCTGAGCCCTCAATCTTTGTGCTTGGATGTCCATAAAATACATGTAAAATATGAACAGGGTCATTATTCTGAAGTTATTATTCCTACAGATTCTAGGAGACAAACATTTGGTTGTCTTTCCATAGATAAATCTTCAAGCCCATTTAAAAACAAATAAAACACCAACAGTGCAAGTGGACTGCTGAGCAAAACAAACTTCTTGCAGCTAAATTCCCAGCTGCTACTGCACTGCTGGAAACTAATGTACTCACAGGGCAGAGAGGCTCTGGGGTGGCCTCCAGACCAGAATCCTTCTCCCTACCTTAATGTCCTGCAGCTTCAGCTGAATTCAGTGTGCATCACCCCCTATGGAAGCACACAGCATTGCTCTCACATGTCTGAGAGGAGGCTGCATTTCAGTTAATGCAGAAACAATTTTTCAGTCTGCTTTAGCATGAAGGGCACTAATGGAATAGAAACTGTCAGATCATTTCTCCTAGGAAGCAGAGAAGGACCTCTTTGGATCGCAGCAAATGAAATCCGTTAGAGTCACACTGACTCTAAAGCACTGAGCCATTTGGAAAATAGGGAGCTTCATATCAACAACATTTCCCAGTTAATGTAGGAAGAATTATGATGCAAAAATAAGTTTACACACTGAGGGCCAGGCCACCATCTGTTTTTTTGCTGACAAAGCTCTGCTATAATGTGCTCCTTGGCTGATTAACATTTGAGGGGACTCGGAATAACCTTGAAATCCAGTGAAGGACTTCCACATCCTGTCTTTATCAAAATCCTGCTGAAGTCAGTGGAGGTTTTCCTGTTGACCTCACTGTAATTCTTATTCATTATTGAAGTGGGATCACAATGCAGGGCACAAGCACACTTACCTATTTTTCTCCAGTTCCAAGACGAGCTCCTGGCCTTCTGCCTCCACTGTAACTTCAGCTCGGGGTGGATGCTGCGTGCAGGGGAGAGGGTGCCTGTTACTCATACATCATCCTTATGAACACATCCACAAATACAAACTGGAAACGGCAGCTGACCTTAAACCACCCCTTGCCTTCCTCCTACTTCAGACCTGGAGTGATGGGGAAGGGAGGGGATGCAGCACGGTGGCTCCCAGCTCCAGGCACGCTGCTGCATCCCACAGCACAGCCATGCTGAGGCAGGAAGCAGTGCAGGCATCCGCTGGGATGCTGTACCTGAGCTAGAGACACCACCTGGTGTCTCAGGAGGAATAAAGTGCTCAGGCAAGGCAACAGGTCCTTGTGTTGGAGTGCTTGGAGGTGCAGTTGGACGGGAAGAGCTCCCTGCATGTCCCTCTGCTGCAAATTGTGCTCAGCACAACATCACAGGACATCCCAGCTTGCCCCAGAGACTGAAGAGTCAAATATCTGAGCTAGTTAACCAAAGATTCCTTTGTTGTCACAGCAGAAAGACATTTTTAGGAGCCTATTTCAGGACGAGAGGAATCATGCCTCTTCCAGAGATTCTCACTTCATTCCTTTACTTGCAGAAAGTGCCAGTGAAAGGCAGGGAACAGGGACCCTTCAGACCCAGCCATTGCACAGACAGAATTTTGGGCATCCCCAGGGCCTGCTGCTTTGATCAGAATGCACCCCAATTTCTTAGTGCAATTCCAAATGCATACACTAACCCCAACATCAAAAAAACAACAAAAAAAAAAAACAAAAAAAAAAAACAAAAAAAAACAACAAAAAAAAAAAAAAAAAAAAAAAAAAAAAAAAAAAAAAAAACAAAAAAAAAAAACCACTTTAAGCATAGAATGAGATTTTTAGAGCAGCAACTAGAAGAGGTTCTGGGGTCTGCAGTTTTACCTCCCTCAAAGCAAAACCACTATGTAAAGCCAGCTTGGGGTTTCCAAGTCTGAATGCTTTCTCACAGAGAAAATGGATGAACAAATTCCCCAGAAGGGAAATAGCTCATATTAATATAACAGTGCACTTTATTCAGCTGGAAGAAAAAAGAAATTATGAAAATCATGAGGGTTGGTGAAATTATTAACCCAGAGTATTTTCTGAACCAGTGTTGGAGGAGACCTTGAGGAACAGAACATTGAAAGTGAAAGAAACAAGGTTGACTGAATGGGATGTTCTGCCAGCCCAGAGTTATGCTCACTTGCCATTACAGCAAATACAAGTATCTCTTTTCATCAGCTCCCTGCTCATATTCTGGGTTTTGCTCATCCTTCCTTCAGTTTCCAGGATGTGGCATCAGGCCCACGCAGATGATGCAAAGCAAGTTAATACATTTAGGATATACAAAAAGGGATAATTGCAACAGGCAGAGCTTCTTTCACTAAATCACAGGTGCACAATTCATCTGAGGGCAGGTCTGTGCTTCAGTCACTAACATGAAAGCACTGTAAGGCTGCCTTGCCAATAGCTGAGGGTCTCCATCATCATAAAATCTCTTCACAAAGGTTGTGCTAACATCATTATTACTAATACCACCCTCCCTCCTCCTTCAGTAATCCCACTGCTTCAGTCCATCAATTGCTGTGTAAATGAAATATCCCAGCTGTATATAAGCTTTGCTAACACTCATTTCAGAGCCAATGGGAACTTGCCTGAAACAAACCAAGTGCGACCCCTGAGACCCAGCAAATTTATGTGAGGGGAAATGCTCTCCAGATGTATTTGCATGACTATCAATAACAGAACCAAAACCTGCAGGCAGCATCACAAGGGCATTTTGAAAAGAACTAAGATCACAAGAGAGTCGTTGTAGGGGGTTTTGTGTGTTATAGGACACAATGATAAGTTTTAGAAAGTCTCATATTATGGAAAAGACTCATTAGTAAATTCCCACATAACACCACTATATTCAAGAAAAATGACATGTTTCCATAATGCTTAGCTTCCCCTTTTTTTTGGTTCACAATATAAAAAACATCCTGTGGACTTTCCTCTTTCTCTCAATCTCACAACTGCAATTACTTCTTGATTGCAACAACACCAAGCCTGGGAAGGGGAACTGTGTTTTGTGTTTGATGTTATCTGGACCTCAGTGATTGTCAGAGTCTGGACACTGTTGAGACATCCCTTCATCCACCCATGGAAGAGCAGCAGGGGTGAGAGCTGTAGTAACACACAGTGTCTGAGACACAGCCAAACCCACCTGTGCTGCTGGTTGGCTTTTCTCACCTAGTGAAGCACCCTCACAGCTGGGATTCACAGAACCAGAGAATGGTTTGGGCTGGAAGGGATCTTAAAGATCCTCTTGTTCCATCCCCATGCCAGTGGGCTGGAACACCTTCCCCTAGGAAAGATGGCTCCAAGCCCCATCCAGCCTGGCCTTGCACACATCCAGGGATGGGGCACCCACAGTTTCTCTGGGCAACCTCTTCCAGTGCCTTGTCACTTCACAGTCAAAAATTTCTGTCAAATATCTAATCTAAACCTGCCCTTTTTCAGGTTAAAGCCATTCTCCCCTGTTCTGTCAATCCACACCCTCGTAAAAAGTCCCTCTCCAGCTCTCTTGTAGCTCTTTTAGGTACTGAAAGATGCTACACGGTACTGAAAGATGCTACAAGATACTTTTAGGTACTGAAAGATGCTACAGTAAAAAGTCCCTCTCCAGCTCTCTTGTAGCTCTTTTAGGTACTGGAAGATGCTACAAGGTCTTTCCAGAGAGTTCTCCAGGATGAACAACCCCAACTCTCAGTCTGTTTTCATAGGAGAGATGTTACAGCTCTTGGAGCATCTTCACTGCCCAGCCCTGGCCTGGCTCCAGCAGGTCGATATCATTCCTGTGCTGGGGATCCCAGACACAGCACTGCAGGTGGGGTCTCACCTGACCAGAGTACAGGGTCAGATCCTCTCCCTTGACCTGCTGGTCACACTTATTTTGGTGCAGTCCAGGACACAGATGGCTTTCTGGGCTTATCTTCTCCTACAGCAGATCCTTGTATCCAGCCGTTCCCTAAATGCCACCGATTGTACGGCCCCGCTCCCCTTTCACAGACACAGACCGAGGCTTTAAGGCATGGCAGAAGGCAGGCTGAATGCATTTCCCAGATGCACCAGCCAGCTCACACAGCCTTTCCTGCGATCTGCAGGAGCTATGGCAGCTCCTTGCTCATCCCCACAGCTTAGCAAACCCCAAACGAGCATCGCCAGGTGCTGCTCTACCCGCGACACCCCCCTGCCCCCGCAAAGGCAGGGCTGCGAACAAAACAGAGACCAAGCGCTGGGCGCGACCTACCTTGGGGCTGCCGGGGCCACCCGGGGCTGCCCAGCGCGGCTCCACCACCTCGGGCTGGGGCCGCTCCTCAGCGGCCGCGGCTGCGGAGACAAGAGGAGCGGCTCAGCATCCCGGCCCCTCCGCAGCCCGGGGGCAAGGCAGCACGAAGCCGGGGCGGGAGAGGAGAGGGAGCTCTGCGCTGGTTGTAGGAAAAACAGGAGGATCTCCCCAACCCACCCACTCACCCATCCATCCTCCCAGCCTCCCTCCCCGGGCGCTCCCGCAGCCGGAGCGCTGGTGCGGGGCTGCCGCACAGCTCCGGGCCGGGCATCCCGCAATCGGCACGGGCATCCCGCAATCGGCACGGGCACCCTGCACTCGGACCGGGCACCCCGCACTCGGACCGGGAACCCCGCACTCGTCACGGGCACCCCGCACTCACGGGGCGGCGGCCGCAGCAGCAGCGAGAGGGCGATGCCGCAGAGCAGCCCCCGGCCCCGCATGGCTCCGGGCAGGGACCGCTCTCCGCCGCCGCCGCCGCCCTATAAACCCGCCCGGCGCCGCTTGTCCCCTCCCACCGCTCCAGGCTCGCGTCCGCCCCGCAGCCCCCTCCTCTCTTGCTCTCCCTCCGCACATCCCGGGATACTCCCGGTGGTCCAGCGGCTCTGCCCCGCGGGGCGCGGCTGAGCCGGGCTCTGTCCCCGCTCCGGGGCAGGGGGAAACCTGAGCACCTCCCTGGGGCTCCCCCTGCAAAACCCCCCCTCCAGCGCCTTCGCCAGCGCGGAAATCCATTGTGCCTCCAAAGCTAGGAAAAAGGGGAGAGCTGGGGGAAGGAAGGAGCTCAAGAGCTGTTTATTTATGTGTTTGCTGTATTTATGTGCAATCTTATCATAGCTGATTCCGTGGTTCCAGAGACATCCTAAATTTCTCCATTACTTAGAAATACATTACTCCTGAACACCTGAAGGGATACAGGAGTTTTATGTGCCTGTATAAAAGGGCAGAAGCAAAATTATGTTGTCTGCCTCTCTTCCCTTTATGGCCGATGGGAGGGCCAGGCTTAAAGAAGGACTTGGGAACATGCAGAGCTCGTATTCCCAGTGCTGCCCTTCAGGGATATCCATGAGGATATGTCATGCCATGAGGCTCCCGAAGGAGCATCCCTGTCTTCTCCTGCATCCTTCAGGGCTGAGCCAAGGCTTGAAGTCCACACATCATCTCTTTGCTGGATCTCTGCCCTTCAGGGAGCTGAGCACCTGGGGGAGGCACGGCTGCTGAATCAGCCTTTGGGGTCGGGGTCACAGCAGGACAGGAGAGCCCAGGTTAGTGGGGCCACACCGAGGTTACCAGCTGCAAACACTGGGGGACTCCATGGTGCTGTAGGAGCTCCTTGCACACGCTGAGCCCACAGACTGCCTTTCCTGTGTCAGTGTGTGACAGCCAGCTCAGCTGCAGCCCCACTCAACGCTGCCAGCGTTGGCTGACACGGATTTTTATGGGGTCAGCTCCGAGTGGCAGGAAGAGCCATTACCTCTTAACCATACTCTTCAGACAGACATTGATCTGCATGTTCCATTCAACCCTTCCTGTTCATCTCTGTGCTTCAATTGTCTGTGTAGGTGAACCACCAGGGAAATGAGAAATGGGGACAATTTGCATGTGGAGAGGTTATAAGTGTAGAGTGTATAAGTAAATCAGGCTGGTAGGAAGTGAATACTCCCTTCAAAATCAAGGTTTGCCAGATAACAGTAATGATTTTTTTCTCTTGTCCAGAGTATTATTTATGCTATTGAAAACTCTAATATCTTTTATACTGAAGGTTTTTGCAGGCTCCTGCCAGGGCTGCCCAAAGGAAAGGTGACTGTTCCCTTTTGCAGATACCATTTTGGTTTATATCTCACATATGTCCCCTTTGTCCCCCAGCACTTCACAAACTGAATCTCTCTGATCTTGTGAAGGTCAGATTATTCCTGGTATCACTCTGGCAGAGGAAAGTCAGGCACTGTAAGGACACCTAGAGGGAATAATCAGGGTGAGAGGGCTATAAATGACATTTTAGCTGACCCACAGAGAGGTCATGAATTTTCATGGCACAACTAAATCCTCTTGTTTTGAAGAGCAAAAAATACAGGGGGAAAATTTCAGCTCTTTTCTAATCATATGGAATATCCTGAAGGGAAATCTTGATTTATTTTTTTTTCCCTGTGAATTCCCCTAGTTATTTATAGCTGCCTGTAATATAGAAGAAAACAACAGCACTATTGTGCATGTCTATATTATAAATAAGTAAAAATGCAAGCCAAATTTAGACTCAAATTTAGCTATATATTTCTCTAAAAGAAGATCAGCTCAAAAAAGCACAAAATGGAATAAAATGAGCCTTATGTTAAGATTATTAAAATATTTAGGCCAACAACTATCTGCTTGTAATTGTTTTCAGTGGTCAAATATCATAAAAATAAAATATGTGTAATATTTGCATTTGTTATATAGTGATATTTTTACCTTTGGATCTTAGTAATATGAGAACGGATATCTCACTTTAAAACCACCAGAAACTCCCTGTATATAAAAATATAATGACAGGCTGTGCAGTGGTTATATATAGGTTTCATTTATATATATATATATATTTATATTATATTTATAATTTTATAAATATAATAAATATTTATTATAAATAAATAAATTTATTTATTATAAATAAATATTTGTTTTATATTTATAATTTTATATAGTATATATATAATATATCATTTACATTACTGAGACATTGTTGCATAGAAAAATTCTGGGTATTTTAGCCTTATTAACAGTGCTCAGGTGCTGTAATGCTGTTTCTGGCACAGGGTGAGTCAGATCCTGCCTGCGCCCACCTCTTCAAAAGCTCTTCCCCAAAATCTTGCTGGATTTCACAGAACAAGGTCAGACTCCTGGTTATCTAAGAATTACACAGGCTCAGACTCATTTCCTCCAGGATCCAAACAGCCTGATTAGGAGTATCAGCTAGGAATTTCAAATCTGCTTTGTTCTCTCATCTGTTACATCCCCATGGCCAAGGCATGGAGCAGCAGCCCCTGTGCAGCCCCCGGAGCAAGGGTGAGGTGTTTCAGCCTCCCCAGGGCAAAGCTGAGGACAGGGCTTTTGCAGAGGGGGTTCTGCACTTGCTTGACAATTTTCAAGATGATTTAATGCTATTGTTGATAGCTGGGGTGCAAAAGATGAGGATTGTCCCTTTATGTTCATAGTAAATCAGGAATTAGGCCTGTCCAAGAAATGGACCCAGGGAGAGGAAAATGCCTGTTCAGGAACCAGACTTGAGCAGAGAATGACTGAGACATGTACCACAGCTCAGTAACATTTCATGTGAACTCTCTTAGGAAAGGATGTGGAACAAAGTGCTCTGAGAAGACTCCTGCTGACACTGAAGGAAACTTTACCCAGAATCAAAGTCTTAGCAGGAGAAGGGAGAAGGGAGAGGACTGTCCTGCCTAACCTCTGCATTACAGACACACTCACCGATGAGAGAAATGTTACAGCTTTGGCTGACTCGAGTGGAATGTGAAATCTCCCATTTTACAGAACATTCTTCTGGTTCAGATCATTTGAAATGATCAAAGGAAGGAGGCTGTGAATCTGTGAAGGAAACTGGAGATTCAAGAATTAACTCCTTCATCCAGTGTCTTGACAGTTGAGAGCAGCTTCAGCTGACCCAGAATATTCTGTTCAGCTCTGCTTTTCCACCACCCATGTAGGACAGCAGGAATATTTGGAAGGGCCCTGGAGCAGCTGTCCTGCCAAAGAGGGAGAAGTGCTGTAAGATGATCAGGAGCTAGACAAGGGCTTGTCCTGATGTGCTGATAGCAGAAGGGTATCAAAGCACTCCCTGTGCTTCTTTTAAAGGGTGGGTCACTGCTACCACTTTCTGCTATGAGTTTTGCTTCATTCCAACAGGCAAGTGAACTTGAAGATGATTATATTTGCAGACACATCTTTTAACTCTATTTCCACATGTGAAACACTTACAATCCTCTCTGTGCTGCCTGCAACCTTCTCCAACACAACAGTGCCTATACTGAAATTGTTAATTCTAATAAGAAAAGGGAAACAGGCATAACAGCACAAGGGCTTTTAATAACATCCACTCCATAAAACTGTCCAGTAATTTTGGAGAAGAAAATTGTCTCTGTAAATGAATAGCAGTGATGTACTGGGAAGCACCAAGTGTCTTTAGACTTTTACAGTAGCAAGAGGAAAACAAACTTTGTACAGAAATTCTTCATCTGTTTTTCAAGCTGCAAAGGAAGCAAGGTGGCTTTTAGTTTAGATTAAGGTGAACAGTAAGGAATAAAATAATTATAAGAGAGTAGAACACGTCCCTCTTATGTCCCAATTACCCTCTGCACTGCCATGAAGACTTGCAGGAGGACACACAGCCACCAAGGCACTGGCCCTGCCAACATTGGCCACTCCCCACATTTCAGGAGGAGAAGTAACAGCACAGATACTTGGCACTTCAGGAATCTGCATTATGGGAAAATTTGTGGGTGAGCTGAAAATCACCTAGAAATGGGAACTAAAAACCTCTTCTATCACATTTTCCCAGCTGCAGGGCTGCCAGACATGCTGAGGGATGATGCAGAGGAAGCCAGGTTTGAGTGGGTTGTTTGTGTAATTTTCACTTCTGGTGTAGACAAGACAGAAGAGCCTTCAAGAGAGCTCATCCGAGGGCTGGCTGCAGTGACACAGACCTGCAGACACAGATCCCTAACAACCACTCCAGGACATCAGCTCTAGCTGGGAGGGAAGAAGGGATCACCCTCACAAGTAGTTTCCCATTAATATATCCAGCGTATGTTAAACCAGTCTTCCCTTTCTCTGGCCTTGGTAGAATAAACCACAACAGTTGTGTACCATTCTAGATTCTGGTGCATTGAACTATGTCTGATATCCTACTCCACAGGGTATAAAAAGAAAGATGGGAGAAGAGGGAAGTTAGATCTAGAGAATAATCTCACAAACAGCTGTTTTATACCCCAAAACACACTTGTGAAGGGATTTGTACATTTGGCCACATGCATTCCTGCAGGCCATATCAGCTTTCAGTGAGAATTCAGACATGAACAGGCATTTTATGCTATTTATAAGACTTTCCTCTTATACAAACAGCTCATCAGACTCTTCAAAAGATGAGGACCTGTGCAACTTACTAAAGCTACCTGGGTTTCCCATTGAACACACTGACTGAAAAAGTGGTGTCGAGGAAAACATTTATTTCCCATTCTATAATATCTCTTTGGATTATAATAAGTTTTAAAAATTACAATACTTGAAAAAACTTTACTTCCTCTTCCTCATCACTGTCAGTTACATTGACAATGTAAGTGCTGGAGGGAGTAGATGGGGGGGATGGCAAAACCTCCTCTACCACTTCCACGTCCAGCTGCGGCAGGGGGCTCAGAACTCGCTCCTCGCTGCAGGTGCTCTGACAGGACACGACTTCAGGGCTCCCACAGACAC